TCTAAATGTAATTTGGATGGGTGTTTTTAGGGTAGGATTGTGATGATCATCAAACAATTATATATAATATGGTATGATCTTTTTTTCCGGATGTGACCTAAGAATCAACATTGATTTTTTTTATTTTATTTTTTTCATACAAATTTGAGACGTTGATTATGATCTGACAAACCATTTGAGTTAGCCTAATGGTTATACGGTCGATTTATCATATAAAAATGCATACTTAGTGTGTGAAATATTAAATTTTTCTTTGATTTGTTTCTAAAGTATAACATTTAAGTATGAAAGTATGCTTGTTTGTAAAAACTATATATTCGTTTACGTAGTTTCTAAAGTATGATATGTGAGTACATAAGATATGTTTATTTGTGAGAATTGTAGGAGAAGCATTGTCGTTCTATTCTCTTTGGCGTTAATATGTTTGTTTGAGAGCACTTTTGAAAATGTTTATTTCTTAAACGGACATGTATGCGAATGAACTTCTCCAAAAATATCTCTCTTACTTCTATACAGAATGGACTTTGTGAAAGAACCAACTTATACAAGTCCATTTTTTTATTTTGCACCAAATATAACTATTAATAATTCAAATGAAATTTTGAATCAAAATTTTGCACCAAATACAACTTACTAATTCTAATGGACATTTGGATCCATTTGAGAAGTCTTTCAAAAAAAAAAAAAATATCTTTCAAACAACTTATCAAAAATTCAATTTATTTGATTATGAGATGATCCAAGCATCTTCAATAAGTTTTTCAACTTTTAAATCATTTAGTAAATTCATCAATTAAGTCCAAGATATGCATAACTAACAAGCTCGTAATCAATCAATTTACTAAATTCATGCTCTTAAAATTTCTTGTATTAGAAAAAAAAAAATCATCACACCAAAGACCATCATCATATTTTCTTGTTGAAACCTTTGCCAAAGTTGAAACAGATGATATAATAATTAACAAATAACAAATAACTTTCAGAACTAATAAAATTCCAGGCAAGTTCAAAAAGGCTTTTACCAGATTTGGAAAGCCTCAACAAAAGTTATTGCCGAAAACATAACAAATTTTTCAGTCAATTGCTACAACTAATTCCTTCACAAGGCAGTAGTAACCTAGCAAATGCACCTGGTGAGACCATAGGTAATTGACGACCACCTCCCGGAAAACATCTCTTCATAACCATAATAAACACATGACAACACATGCATAGAGTAATTAGCTACCAAGCAAATTCCTAAAAAGAAAAAAAAAAGAAAAGAAAACACACACACACACACACTAATGATGCTACAGTTTATTAATCAAACTCTTGAGAAGTACGCAGCAAAAAACCAAAAAAGTAAAAAATGCATATTGACGAAAACACGATTGAGGGTATAAAACCAAGGGAGATAATAATTTTCGCCATAAAACAGTGAATTCATGAGATCCTTTCAAATTTTTTCGATGAAATATTTTTCTCAAAGACCCTTGTACCTGAGTCCAGGCACATATAGTTGATCCTTTTTCATAGAGCATTAAGCTTTCTCCAGAAACAAGACAAATTCTCAAAACTAATTCCAGTATGACTTTTAACAGGCAGTTAACACCTAACATAGTTGAGAAAATCCCCTTTTATGACTTCACAGAAGCAACTGCAAATTAATCCAGTAAAGGTCTAACAACCATGAGGCTACAATAAAACAGACCACAAACTTTTGAGATATAAACCAATCAAACAAAAATTTACTAAAACCGAATCACGACAATCAAGAAAACGAAAAAAAAAAAAGAAAAGAAAAGAAACGGACCTAAGGATCTTATTAATCTAAATATGGTTGATGGTCATCTAGAACATGTTAACACCACAGACATGGCCACTAATTAACCCAGGTATCACCAGGAAAACCATAACTAATTGAGTTTGGAAATAAAGAAAACTGTGATCCTTGTGCATTGATGTAAGTTGAAAGAACAATGCTACACGAACCCATGTTAGTGAGTCAGCATGAAAATCACAGGGAGGAACATGAGGTTAAATACTCGAACCATAAGTTCCTGAAAATAGAAGAGAACAAAACCAGTGTCAAAATAATAATAATTAAATAACTATAGAAATAGATAAATTGATATAAGTTTCCGTAAGAATGTCTCACTATTAACTACTTATCGCAGATAAATACTTTAGGTTCCTGGACCAGCCTTGCCAGCAATAGTTGTCTTCTGAAATGTGCCAAACGAGAAACGAGAAAAAAAAAAAAAATAGTATTCAAGAATAAGAAGAGGAAACATAAACATACCATTGCTGAAATTATCATCTTCATAACTGCCCACTTTAATATTATCAACTGCATTTACCTTTGAACCAGAATCTGGCTGCGCAAACCTGCAGAACACCACAGATATCTAACTCATTAATAGCTACTCAAATATTCTAAGAAAGCATTATGACATGTAAAGATGTCCACACCTATGACTGAAAGTATATTTTCGGTTATGCCATATCAAAAGATAGTGAAGATAAAAGGGAAGATGCCAACAACCTGAGCGCCCTAGCTTTCTTTTTATCTTCCTCTGACGAATCAGTCACAGAAGATCCAAACCTAGCAAGTCTAGCTTTCTTCTTCGCATCATCATCAGCTGGTGTAGATTGCAGTACCCCAAACCTAAGGAAAGATTAAAAGGGTCAGCATTTTAGCCACAAACGAACAAATTCACTAAAAACTAAAGCGAACAAGCACAAAACCTCTCTGCTCTAGCCTTCCTCTTCAGCTCCTCAGACTGCTTTGATGAATCTAATTCACTGATAGCTGGACTGGTGCCAAACCTTCACCAAACGGACAGAACTTTAAGAACTTGCTCAATAAACCTCATTCACATGAGATATAATCTAACAACATAAAGGTAAAGAAAGCATCAGGGAGGCTTAGTTCTTTGCAAGATAACAATTAGTGCAGTTAAGCATTCTGATTTCATTTCATGTTTAACTTTGGGAGAAATTGAAAAAATCACGCAGTCGTCTTCATGTTCTTGACTTAGACCTGACCTAATATGGGGTTCCCAAATTCACACGGCAAAAAGTACCAAACCCTAACCCTAATCTAACCTGCTAGCCCCAGAAGCTGTAAGCCCAATCAAACAAATTATAACTATAAATTGAGTACCTCTCAGCTCGAGAATTACGCTTCTCTTCGTCGGACAGGTGCACAGGCATTCCAAACCGCTCTGCACGCTTCAATTTCTTCTGAATATCAGCAGCTGAGCCGTCTCCATCGGCGTTGATGGTTTTCCCCGGCGGCAGTTTGCCGTTGGATTCGCCGTCGCCTCCACGTTGACCCGGCGTTTGATCGGTTGATGACGCGCCTTCGGTGCTCGGAGGAGTTAGGTTGAGATCTGCAGTGATTTTAGGGTTTTCGACTTTAGATATTGTTGCCGTCGCCATGGGAACTTGGGAGCTTCACGGAGAGGAATGGAGAAAGCTACTAGGGTTTTCTCGGAGATGAATTTGGCCTCGGCTTTTCACAACACCAAATTCCAAAATTATATACAGAAAAAATATATACTAAAAATTCAATGCACCAATCATAATTTAATACTAAAAATATATAATTATTATATTAAATATTATATTTTCATTTATATAATTTTAAATTTTTAAAAATATGATATTTCAGTGTAAAAATATTTTACATATGTATAGTTGTCACGTTAATTTATGCACATCATATACGTTTTGAAGTTATCGGCTCGGCCTATCGAACAATATCTTTAATCATCCTATAATATTTCAAATTTCACTAGATCGTTATTAAAGATTGATAGACTGTTATTGAAAACACTGTTGTTGGATCTTTAATTCTTTATAAATAAATATATATATATATAATATTCTTGATAAATTTAATGGTATATCTCGATCATTAACTAGAGATTCTAATTACCGAAAAATAAATAAGCCAACATAGGCTCCAGTTTTCGACGAATCGTGGTGGTTGGAATAATTGAAAACTTCATTGGCTTAGTTTTCCATCGAGTGGAATCTCCGAGTGACAATAGCGACACGTTGTTGGGTTATTCGAGAAAGCCGCTTTCGATATATATGTTTTCATAAAAAATCGACGGTAGAATTTTCCATAACATTTGACCACACATATAATAAGATTGAAGATTGAAGGTATGGTACGGATAGGTAGATCGATTCGAAAATAAGGAGGCATATAATTTATTGAAATTTTCCACGAGCAACGGTGGTGGAGGTGGAAATTAAATACGACAATTGTTTATTCATTTCTTTTACTAAAATCGTTATTTTTTAAATGTTAGGAATAAATTGATTAAGTTAGACCAAAATTGTTTGTTCCCCTTATAAACCCATACCAAATTTTTAAATAATTAGTGTTGATATTCGAGTCGGGCTCATATGAAGGTACCGATCCGAGGGATCGGGAACCGGGCGAAGTCGGCCCGACCGATGGGGCCGGTCACCGAATTGATTCAGAGGTGCCGAACTGAGCATAGGTCAAAGTCAACAAGAGCGGCGGACGGCGTCGTTTCCAAAAGTCGGCACCTTTCACTCTCCGTTACGGAGCCGGCCTGGCTAAGCGCCGTATAGAGATGGAATCCGAAAGACCGGGGATGGACTGAATGCCAGAGTCCAACCTGGGATCCTACCAGGCCGACCTTCATAAGAGTTAAGGATCTGGGAAATAATAAGATGAGGCCACTTGTTTATCAATGATTATCGATGGGACATCTTAGACTAGCCTGCAGGTCTAGGATGTCTAGCCCGGCTAGAGAGCATGTCCGTATTTAATGCAGCTCATGCCAACATTAAATGCCCTGCAGGTAATGATTGGAAGATCAACAAATCACTCCCAATCAGTCAAAGAAACGCCGGCTTGTCTTGCCGAGTCACTGTGCGACAAGACTCCTGAACAGTACCTGAATAGTTTTGCATTTAGGGACCCTATAAATAGAAGCTTTGAGCATTTATTTTGGGTTGTTGAATCTCCAACTGTCTAACTCCCTCTACTTTCTCTCTCTAAGCTTGTAACCCGTGTAAGAACTTGTAAGGATATCGCAAGTGCCGACCTCGTACGAGAGGCCGACCTCGTGATCAATTAATAAAATCGTAATTAAACCGCACTTTCTTGTTGTTCTTCCATTTCATATTTCCTTTTTTTATTTCTTTAACCGTTGATCGGAAACGTCCATCAACAATTAGTTTATTCTTTTCTAAAAGTAATTTTTCTTAATCAATTGCAACCACAATACTTATTATGTGCTTGGTAAGCATATAAGCTAAGTTATAGTTTAGATAGTTAAATTATAAGCTTCATGTATTCAAATAAGTTAACTTTGGTAGGACAATTTTTTTTTTTAAAAAGCTCGAGTTTGTCTTATGAGTTTTCTTAAGTAGCTTTTTCAAATAAGATTATTGAAAATTTTGTTTCAACTAGTTTATAACTAATTTTATCAAACACTTTTATCATATAATGTAGTTTTTAAGACATAAGTCATAAGGTATCAATTATAAACTCAAACTTCACTTAAAAATTGTAAATTAAATTAGTTAAAAAAAAATAAATTAAGTTTACCAAATTGCTTTATACATTTCCATTTAATGCTTTCCTTTAATTAATCTGACTTTGAAAATCATATATATATATATATATATATCTATACTTATATTAAAAGGGGTACTATTTACCAAATTAAGTAGCCAGAAAGGTCAACAACATTTATTGCATTACTATTTCCGTATTATGTTATATAAAAGGATATTCTATTTACTACATTTATTATCCAGAAAAGTCAACTACATTAAATGTCATTACTATTTTGGTATTATAATATTTTATTTATTTAATTGATTTATTTATTTGTTTTATTTTAAAAAGGTAAGTATAATAAAAAGATTTTAATAATAAAAAAATTAAATACCAAATAAAAATGTACACTTTGACTTATTTGATTATATTTGGTATTTGATTATACCAAATATATTCATATTTAGTATATACATTAAATACTTACTAAAGTATTTGTTTGTTTTATTTGTCAAAGTTAAGTATAGATTTGTTTATATTATCAAATCATAAAAAATATTAAATCCATATTGTAAGAAAAAAAAATCATATAATTTTATAACAATTCTACTACACTATTTAACAATATTCCTTTTTTATTATATAATAAAATAATAATTAAATATTATATGGTGAACAACAATAAGTAAAACTGTTACTTTCTCTTATATCAAGGGATAAATTTATATGCTAAAATTAAATTTTTATTAGTATAAATGTTTTAGTGAGATAATATATTAATTATTTTACAAGCTAGCCCTAACATGCTCATATTTAATGTTTTAAAAGATGTAGAAAAAAAACTTATAATAACTCTATTGTTTTTTAGACTTAAACGTTGATTAAAAGAGGTAAAAATTCCTAATTTTTTAGACTTAAACGTTGATTAACACCATAGATTGAGAGTTTATATTTAGTAAAATTCCTAATTGTAATAAAAAAATTAATTTTTGCTATATTTTAGAATATCTTTAAATTCATAAAAAAAAAAAAGAAAAAAAAAACTACAATGAAAAAAACAAGTCAGCTATATATCGATTTGTTGTACTCCTCAAATCACATTCACAATTTGGCAGGAAATGAAACTCATTGATTAAAATATTATTTTGTCAGTAATCTTAATGTACAAGAGACTTTAAGACTCCACTTGAATATTATAAAATTTTTATTGAACATCGTACAATTTCTTGCGTATTATAAACTTTTATTGAATATTGCATCTTATAATATAATATTTTCCAAATAAATATATCTCGCGGGTCACGTACTATATATATTCCGTACATTTTTCTTTATTCATGTATATAATTATAAGTCTGGATAAATAGCCTTAAAATTGTGCACCCCGTGCATTGCACGGACTCTGTAATGGTATATTTGTGTGGTGTTAACCAAATCCACTGGATTTTAAAGGGACCGTCGTTGGACTCATCATGCGCTAGTGGATACAAGCAACAAAGAGCCAAGAACAACAAAAAAAGGAAAAAAAAAAAAGCTTTGGAGCCATGAAATTGGCTTCAAGTATTCACACCAACTCGATCCAAATTCACTGCAGCTTCCACTTGAATCTGCTCAAGCCCTCGTCAATCGCGTCTCTCAAGAACGTCCCAGCAAGATTCAATCTTCGCAACTCCTTGCGAAGAACCCCAAATGCGCATACTTTTCCGACAATCACTTGTGCCAGAAGGGCTGAGCGTGGGGCGTGGGAAGCCTCAACTTCACAAAACGATGACAAGGGCGAGTTTATTTTTACTGGAAAATGTTGTTGTGTTAGCTTGTTTATCCATGAACTCTGATAGATTGGGCATTTGTGCCTGGTGATGGGTTTTGCAGCAAATGAAGCATCGAGATTTCAGTCGCCCGAAGGCACTGATGGCGATTTGCGCTCATGTGATGATACTTCTGATGAAGTTCTTGGGGAGATTGCCTCAACGAGTGCAGATTATGCTAATTGCCTTAGAACCGTAGGCTTATGTGTATGTATCTGCTGACCGTTTGTTTTTCTTTTGTGGATTTTTGTGATTTTCTATTTGTATAATCCTGAGCTGAGAAGCCAATTTAGTGTAATTATATATTTATTGTAGGTGTTCTCTGCTGTGGCATTTGGTGTGGGTTTGGGTTTGAAAGATGGGATTGGCAAGGCATCCGAGTTTTTTGCCGGGTTCGGGCAATAACCTTCGATTAGTGATTCTATACTTGAAATTAGTCAGCTCGTAATCATTTACGATATGGGAATTCGTTATTTATAATAACTTTATTCTCTGCTTGTGGAATGAAAAATATGCTGTTTTGTGTTAGAGCATCTTTCGTGATTGTTCTTATTTGTCGATTTTCAGGTACCTACTGGAGCAGAGTTTATCTGTGGACAATCTGTTTGTATTTGTCTTAATATTCAAGTACTTCAAAGTGCCACTCAGTTATCAGGTCCACCATAACTTCATGCGGGTTATGTAACATAATAACATTCCTCTGCTGACCCGTGTTTTATGTTGTTTCTTTTGATGGCAACATGATTGTTTGATGGGAAAATAGAATCGGGTGCTTTCTTATGGTATTGCTGGTGCAGTAGTCTTTCGGTTATCGATAATACTTCTTGGAACAGCAACACTTCAGGTCACTTATGAATTTTCGCCTTTCATGCTCTTGTTTGCCAGTCGAGCTTTACTAATTACTATCTGTTGTTATCCTCTAAACAATTGTGTATTTTTTTTATCTTATGTTATTGTTAGAGATTTGAGGCGGTTAACCTATTGCTGGCGACAGTTTTACTATACTCATCGTTCAAGGTTTTATTCTCTCTGAGCACTTAAACTGCTAATCGCTGTTATTATATTCTGTTACTTCTCTTATTTTAAAATGAAGTTTTTACATTTAGAAAATGCAATAGAATCTAGTGATATACCTCTTTGATCCTTGTTTTATTAGCATTATGTTTCTGTATTTCTTGGCTTTTTTTTGTGCCTTACTGTTCTTTTATTTTGTTAGTTATTTTCTGCAGATGATGAAGATAATGACCTCTCGAATAATTTCATTGTAAAGACATGTCAAAAGTTCATCCCTGTAACTTGTAAGGTCTTTCTCTGTCTCCCAAGTCCACTTTAGAGCATTCAGGGTATTATTTGCGTCTACTCAATTTGTCACAGGTTGTGATATGAGTCTTTAAACGTTGACTTATTGAAACTTTTCTATCAAAACATGTAAAGAAACATTTATTTTTTGGATCATCATGATTACCGAAGAAAGGTAAAAGATTGGTTAAGATCAAATTAGAGGTGCACACTAGTCTGGCCTAGCCATATTTTCAGAAATTAACTGGCTGGCTGCAACTGAAGCTTGATTTAAAATTCTGAGCTAGCTCAATCTTGAGGCTATCCCAATCATATTAACGTTAAGCCAGATTTTGCTACACATCAGTAAGAAACTCAAGCATTTTTCATATGGGTCATGCTGTCTGAGCTCTTTTTCGGTTTTTTAATCTCCCAATCATAGAATTGCTCCTCAGTTTTTCTTTTCTTTTTCCACCCTAGGAAGCTAATGCCCCTATACATTATTTATTTGGTTCGTAAGATCACAATATTAATATTACATTGGTTTTAACTCCTCCATGTTTTATCATTTGCAGCTAACTATGATGGAGATCGGTTTATAACTATTCAAGATGGTGTGTGGAAAGTAAGATATCAATTAATCTTTGCTACCTATAGCAAAAAATCTAATGTTTAAGTGCTTTAATATATATATATATAAAAAAAAAAAAAATCTTCAAATTGTTTATTAAGTTGGTATCTGACAGAACTCAAACATTTTGCGCAGGCAACTCCATTGCTTCTTACAGTAGCAGTTATTGAACTCAGCGACATTGCATTTGCTGTGGGTATTTTTTGTTCATCACCATAATTGACATATTTTAAAATGTAGAAGTTTGATTGTAAATTCATTTTTCTTCCTTGTCAGGTAGATTCCATACCGGCAGTTTTTGGTGTCACGCGGGATCCTTTCATAGTATTTTCATCTAATCTCTTTGCCATTTTAGGTGAATCCTTGTTCTTTATCCCCTTTTTTTTGTTTTAAATTTTTTCCCCAATAGTTTTCATGTCAGTGTCATAACAAATGATATAAATTCCCATGAATGTACGGTTTTACCTGAGTGGATTTACAAATTAGGTGTCGATGTTTTATGTTGCTAAATCATGCATTATGCCGACAGTTTAGATGAAAACTTAGTAGTGCTTTAATTCATCGTTTATTTTTATTTTTTTCCCTTTTTTGTTTTCTCTACAGTTGCGTGTATCTATGACGGCAATTCGGCAGACTCATGCGTAGCTTTTTCATATTGTAGGTTTAAGATCATATTACACACTTATTTCGGAAAGCATGGCAGATTTGGAGTATTTGCAAGTGAGTTTTTCTTGCTAAGTTTGAACTTACAGTGCATAAAAGGCGCTAACAATTCAATTTGAGTGGTTCTAATAAGCATTAGTTGTTACATGATCCATATCAGTCGTATTATTAATAAGGCTAAATTGCAATTTTGGTCCTATTATTAAGTCATGAAGGTAGCGATTTAGGTCAAAAGGACTTAATTGCAGCAAAATTTTAAATTACATGACTTAAAATTGCTAATCAAAATCTGTCCCAAATATATAAATTGGGAATTTTGACGGTCAAATGATTGAAATTGCAGCCAAAATTAAATTACAGGACTTAAAATGCTATATGTCACTACCTTATAATCTAATAGGACAAAATTTACAATTTTAGCCTATTAAGAACTACTCGAGCGTGATTGAGGTTTTCATGAGATTTTATAAAATCGGCTTAGGGCTTTAATTGTGCTGCAAAAATTCAAATTACGGGACTTAAAATGCTATATGTCACTACTTTCATAATCTAATAGACCAAATTTAAAATTTAGCCTATTAAGAACTACTCGAGCGTGATTGAGGTTTTCATGAGATTTTATGAAATCGGCTTAGGGCTTTAATTCGATTGCTATACTCGTCTACTGATCTAATCCTCCATTTCTGTTTATAGCCGGCCATTGGGATTGTTCTTGGATTTATCGGGTGTAAGATGATATTCGATTTCTTCGGTAAGTGGTATCGGTTGAAATATAATCTCCACTTGCTCATTGCCTAACGGTTAGACAACCATTCGTAGTTTCTCGATGGATATGCATGTTTTCAAACTGAAATATTATACCCTAAAAAAACACAATAGAAATAAAAGTATGTCATTTCATAGCGTAATTACGCATCTTTGTTAAAAGAAGTATGACAGGTCGGCCCGCCTAACGGTTAGACTGAAGTATGTTATATTAACATTTAAATGTTGTGCAGGTTTCCATGTATCAACTGAGGTTTCACTTGGATTGGTAGCAACTTCTCTGATAAGTGGGGTATTGCTGAGTTTAGTGAAAAAGACTGATTGACTCTCTCTCTCTCTTTCTCTCTCTCCATGTTTGGTTAAGCTTATTCTTATGGATAACCTAATTGGAGATTCCATTTGTTGTTATCCTTTTTTTTTTTTTCTCAAAGGATTGATTGAGCTTTGGTTCTCCTTTTAATATTTTGTAGAGATAGAGAATGTGAGATAATTGTGTTGGGATTATGAATTTATGACCAAATATGAGATAGAATGTCATGTTGATGGTTGTTGTAGTTGTAGTAATTAAAATATGAATAATGATTTTACAAATAAGAGAATAAATATTTTCTGTTTCTTGTTAGCATGAATGAGGTATATACTGCAGAAACTCATTTTGTTTATTTTTTCGTTTCTCTTTTATTTTTCATCCTTAATTTAAAGACTTTGACCGATCATATGATTTCTTAAAAACAGTTGAATAGTAGTTGTGTTTTATTAGAAACAAAAAAGTGAACATGAATTACTATGATCTTTCTCACAGGTCATTATCCGGGTTTACTGGGATGCGTTTGATGTCAAAATAAGCCTACATTTTATTTTATTTTTTTATTTTTTAACATAGACTATACTGAACTAATGAAAGGTTCACATTGTTACCAAACAGGTACATATTTTAGTCAATAAACATTAAACATCACACTTTGCATACTGAATTCTTATCAGTTAAGTAAAATCACACTTTGCATTTTGTACGTATGGATATAGAATATAGAAATTCTATAGATCATCTCACACAAAAATTTATATTTAAAAATTTATATTTAAACTATTTTGGCACATTTTTTTCTTTGCATTTCACGCTCCATATAAAATTTCATATATTTTTTTTTTTTCGAACAAAGAAGGAGGCTAGAATTCCATTCTAAGTGCAAGCCTTGAAATATTCTCCATAGCTCGGCACCCGTAAATTTTGAACCATACATTCAGAGCTCAATGCATTTTTATTTATTTGCTAATGGAGGCAATGAACAGAACAAACATATTATTTAAAAAAAAAAAAATGGCCAATTTTCTTACACATATTAGGAATGAATGTAGAGTGCGAGTTGTAGCTTCCGAACGACTCTTGAACGTTCGTTTGTTGACTGAAAAAACTTTCGAACTAAATAAATATCTAAAGAACAACAGCAAAAAAATTCGAAAGAGAAAATAATGCAAAAAAGGCCTCTTACTCGAAGCTTTTCGTATTTATTTTTCATTTTTTCTTGATCATGATTTTTTGTTCTTCGTTCGCGCCTCGGGATTTGCAGCCTCGGTTGGCATTGCATGGTTGTGTCTTCCCTCATAAGTCGTTATGAAGTTGGCTGGCTTGTCTGATATCCTCTCCACGTATTTCTTCACGTTGCACTTGGGAATCGTGCATCGATAATAGCTCCTACACGAAAAAACCGAAAGAAATTTTTTTCACCCAAGTTATGTTAGTTCAAGAAAGAATGTAAAAAGTTCCGAAAATAGTACATATAAACTATAAAGCAAGCATTTTTCTCCATCCATGGATGAAAGAAATGACCATTTGACTCAAACACGAANNNAAAAAAAAAAAAAAAAAAATAATGTTCTTGCCGAAGATCGAATAATAACAATAATAATGACATTTGTTCGAAATCGAACCTTGGGTACATATTCCCCTTCACCACTTTCTGGCCGTATTTTCTCCACCGAAATCCGTCTCGTATTGTCTCACCTTCGCTATTAATGTTCCGAACAAAAGTCGTGGGCTCGGACGAGCCTCCTTCATTCATGCAGCTATCTTTGAGTAAATCATTAACTCGTCTCCTAAAAAAAAATAAAAAAATACACAAAAACTCAAAAGCTCGTCACTCCTCACAAAACACAAAAATAAATCGCGCAAAACTTACATTCTTTTACTCTTGATGATCTCACGACATTCGGCCTCCAAAGACTCACACTCATCAACACTCACACTCACACTAACACCCATCGAGCTATTGGAAGTCCCGACACTTGAATTATTATTATTATTATTATTGCACGTCGTGTCCTCAAAAGGGTCATTATTATTAATAATGGGAAAATTCATCGGTTGGCCAAGTGATTCATCATTAGGAAAAGAAGGATTAATTTTGATCTCACGAGGGTTCGTCGAGTGGTTGTGATCGCCTTTGTAAACTACCTCCGAAATCCGGCCGTCGGGCGTTTCCTCCACCTTTTTCTTGACCGGACAGTTTGGGTGCGTGCACTTGTAATAGCTTCGTGGGTATTCGCTACCTTTGACCTGTTTTTGACCGTATTTTCGCCAGCTGTGGCCATCTTGAGAAGGCCGGTTAGTGTTGCTTTTCGGATTTTGTTGTAATATGGCATTTGCATTTTGCTCCGGTTGCAGGGGAAGGTCAAGTGATGATGTCCGGTTAATTTGGCGCTCGGCATTTTGCGGCCGTTGAATTTGAGTGCAAATGTCCGTAGTTGCTTGAGTAGGGATAATACCACTCCCTCCCTATAAAAAAAAAATAAAAAAAAAAATTAAAACAAGCGATTGTCGGCTTTTGTTCCTTTCTCTTTTGCTCCAATCTCTTCCTTTTGTTTCAACCCTTTTTTGTGTTTCGTTGGGTTTCATCTCTAGCCTACCCCGACTTGCTTGAGACTAAAGGCTATGTTGTTGTTGTTGTAAGCGATTGTCGGCTTTTCACTTTCTATGAGTGTCCAAAGCTTTAAAATTAAACGAGCAACTCGTGAGTTTAGATTTCGAATTGCGATTATTTCTACGCAAGAAACAAAAGGAGCTTCGCAATCTTTAGTTTCGTAATATATGAACACTTGTTCAAGTTGTTCGAATTATAGCTTCGATTTGCAAATATGGTCAAGATCCTCGACTGACATTTCCTTCCTACTCACACAATAAATCACTTCCTACACAAGTATGTCTCTCTCTTTACTCTTTTTATCAAGAGGACTCTGCATATAAAGAAAATCACACAATACTTGATAAAAGTTAGGACCAAAAGGAGTTTTCAATTTCGTAATATGCGAACACAGCACATTACTAACCAAGTTCGCCAAGAGTGCAACAGTCTTCTTTGAAACAAGCTTAGCTATCGGCTTGTACACCACATTTGCAATGGATTTCGATTTTGGGACCTCTTCAGATGGATTCGAATCTACTGCAGAACCAAACGGCTCGGCCTAAAAGAACAAAAGCAACATACAGTGAAAATTTAACGAAAATGGCAAGCAAAAAAAAAAAAAAAANCAAAAAAAACAAAAAAAAAAAAAAAATCTACTGTTCTTTACCTCGCCCAAACTAGAGTTGCACGTTGGCCTAAACCGTACGGTTCTTGGCCGAATGACTGTAACTGGAGTCTCGGCAAAAGCAGCCGGTGGAGAAGGATTATCGGCGCCCGAAATAACTTCAGAGAAGGGTAATTTAGTGAAATTGGAAAATCTAGGCCTAGTTGCAACTGGTTTAGCAATCACAATTTTGTCTTTCTCTTTGATTTCCATCATAATTTTGTGCGATTCTACTCCTGAAAAAAGTAAAATCAAATGGAAAAATCATATGCTGGAGTTTCTAATGGTTTGAACTGGTTTTGGGTCTGAAATTAAAATGAAAAAGGTAGCATTTTTATTTGTTTTGCTAACTTTTCTTGGCCAAAACTCAAGGCAATTTTCTATCAATGAACACTCACATAAACACTAAAATGAAATTAAATTAAAATCAATTTGGTAGTGAAAATTTAAATCACAGTGATAAGTGATGGATCTAATAACAGTGAATTCAAAATGAAACAAAAATTAGGGTTGGCTCAAAAACCAACAAGAATCGAAACCGATTTCCTCATCACCAAAGTA